TATGAACTTTGCCCTGTTCAATTGCAGATCCATCTGCAATAAAACTGCTGGAGTTATGCAATTGCTTGAAGACTTTGATACTGATATTTGCTGTGCTACAGAAACTTGGCTGAGAAAAGATGACAATGCTAAGTTTTCTGAGATGAAAGAACTTGGATATTCCATTCATAGCCAGCCAAGAGCTGGGCGGGGAGGAGGTGTTGCTGTTCTATATAAGAAAAGTCTTAAAGTGACTCCTCAGAAGTGCAAGCGATTCAAAACGTTTGAGTCTTGTGAATGTACCTTCAAATCATCTTCTGGAGATATACTACGAATTGTTTCAATTTACCGTTCTGGCACCTCCACATCTCAGAGTGCTAACATCCCCCAATTTCTAACTGACTTTGAGCAACTCTTGGTTGATTTAGTAGACAAACCTGGAAAGCCCTTGATCATGGGTGACTTTAATATCCACATTGAAGACGAAAATGATTCAGTTGCACAAAGGTTTAATTCACTACTTAAGTCTTGTGGGTGGGTGCAACAAATTTCAGCTGCAACACACAGAGATGGGGGCATATTAGATCTTGTAATTACCAGGGATGGTTCTTTTACTCACGATTGCATTGAAGTTCTAGATCCTGTCATTACTGATTCTGGTACATCGTCTGACCACTACTTTGTTGCTTTCAATTGCAATGTATCTCCAGCACCCATAGGCACTCTAGAACCAATTACTTACAGAAACATTGCTTGCATAGAACTAGATGCTTTTGTTGAGGATATTCTTAAGTCAAAACTATGTGACACTGATTGCTTCAATGACCTCGATAGTGCAGTTGATATCTATGAGTCTGAGTTGAGCAGTATTTTGGACAAGCATGCTAAAGAAAAAACTTTCATCCCAAGAAAAGATCATAACGCTGAATGGTGGTCTACACACTGTCAACAAGCAAAAGCAATGAGAAGAAAGATTGAGAGACTGTATCAAAAGAATCATGATTGCCCAGATTATAAACGACTGTACAGGAAAGCATCAGAGAGAGCATCCTCAGTCATTGTATCCACAAGAGATCACTTCTACAAAACAAGGTTACAAGATAGTGCAGGTGATGCTAAAAAGACTTATTCCATCGTTAATAAGTTGCTCAATAAAGAAAAAGTTAGTACTACTACACCTTCTTGCTCTTCAAATCTTGAGAGTGCTAACAACTTTGCACAGTTCTTTAAATCAAAGGTCGACAACATATACAACAACATTTATTTAGAACAACAATCGCAAGATTCTCCTAACTCAGATGAATTTGTTCCTCTTTCTAATAGCCCAAAGATAGTACAATTCCGTCATGTGTCTGATGAAGAACTAGTAAGCATCATAAAGAATATGTCTAACAAATTCTGTGATCTTGACCCCATACCTACAAAGATTCTCATCAAGTGTCTCCCAGAACTCCTTCCTCTGATCTCATTTATAGTCAATGAATCATTAGTTAAAGGTGAGTTTCCTATAAAACTTAAGGAGGCTCTCATTCGTCCAAGTTTGAAGAAACGTGGCCTTGACGGTGAATCTCTATCTAACTATAGGCCTATTAGCAATCTCTCATTCTTGTCAAAAATCATTGAGAAGTGTGTATCTATACAGCTCACCAGTTATCTTGAGGATAACAACTTGCTTTCTAAAGTTCAGTCCGGCTATAGGAAGTTTCATAGCTGTGAAACTGCAACAACCAGAATCCATAACGACATCTTGATAACTATTGACAAGAAAACTAAAGTTGTTCTTTTACTTCTAGATTTGAGTGCTGCCTTTGATACTGTCAATCACCCAAGATTAATCAAGAAGCTAAGATCTGCTTATGGCATTACAGGCATTGCTCTTACATGGATCAGGTCCTACTTGGCTAACCGTTCATTTTGTGTCAAAGTCAAGGATTCGTCTTCCTCAGCAACTGTTCTTGAGATAGGTGTGCCACAAGGTTCAATCCTTGGCCCCCTGCTATTCATATTGTACACCAAAGATCTTGAGAACATTGCAAGTATGCATGGGTGCTGTATTCATTTGTATGCTGATGACACCCAGCTGTATTTCACTCTTGATTCTGATGACCCATCACAGCTAGAGCACAATATGGAACACTGTATGTCTGATATCAAGAAATGGATGACAAACAATTTCCTTCAACTGAATTCTTCTAAGACTGAAGTCATCGTTATATCCTCTAAATTTGACTCAACAAATATTCCAGCATCTCTACAGATTGTTAAGGATCAAGAGCCACATGTTGTTAGTGGAACTGTGAAGAGTCTTGGGCTGTATTTGGACAGTTATCTTTCAATGAGTGATCAGATTACGTCAGTGGTTCAAGCATGTAATATTCAGATCAGAAATTTGTGGTTTATTGCATCAAAACTGTCTTTTAACCTTAAGATTCAGCTTGTTCATGCTCTAGTACTCTCTAGAATTGATTATTGCAATAGCGTATATTTTGGACTGAGCTCTTATGATTTAAGTCGTTTACAGAAGGTGCAAAATTCTGCTGTAAGATTTATTTTCGGGAGAGGAAGAAAGGCACACACTACTCCACTACTTAAGAAAGTTCATTTTCTACCAGTTAGATTTAGAATAGATTTTAAGATTGCCCTACTTGCCTACAAGTGTTTAAATAATATAGCTCCTCCTTACTTAAAAGAGTTGATATCTCCTAGGCAGCAAAGTTTTAAAAATGTACGTCTTGATAATGATTATTTTTACCTTAGTTTTCCGCCCTCTCCTAACTATGTAAACACAGAGAAAGCTTTTAGTCACTGTGCAGTTAAAGTATTTAATTCCTTGCCATACGACATAAGATCAGCTGAGTCAGTTACATCTTTCAAGACCAAACTTAAAACATACTTCTTTTCTCTAGCATTTGATTGATTTTGCATTTACATAGGTAAAATGAACTTGTCATGTCTAATTTTCAATTAAACTAAGCTCAGTTAATGTAAGAGCCGCTTTAGAAAGCACTGGAGTTTATCTCCAGGATTAAATTATTATATCGAGTTATATGATTTAGCTATAAGGCGGTTTATAAATGTTGTAATTATTATTATTACTTTTTTTAAAAATCACAATTGTATGCCATTTATTACATAGAATATACAAATTTACAATAAATCAATTTGATATTTAATTGAATCCTAATTCAATGTGTAGCATGACTCCCAACCCACCGCCTCGGCGGGTAGTTGATACACCTTTCACAAGCAAGAGCCACTTTGGTCTACTTGCTGTGAGGTGTCTCAGCTACATGGGTTGGGGGTTCCCCTTTAAAAAAAGAAAGTATGGCTGTCACTCTTTGAATAATGAATATATTAGATATAGGTTGACGGGGCAAAGGAGTGTGCAGATGGTTCGCTATTGCTCACACCAAACGACAACCTAGTAAAAGTTTTGTATGGACACTGGTCTCCATCACGATATAAAATTAGGATTGTGGAATTTATTTTATAACCTACAAGGCGTTGGGGGAGCGTTGTGGTGCATTAATAGAGTGTCAGCCTACTGATTTAGAGTTGTTTTTAAGTTTATCATTGCCATTTTATTATTGTTCTATACTTCTATGTGTGGCTTTAGGTAGGGTGCCCCGCTAAAAGAACTGGATTCTTCCAGGAAGCATCCTGTGCACAGACCTTGGTCTACATATATATTAAATTATTAACCATTCATTCTGTATGTGCACGAAAATTTATTTCAATCAATAACTGTAAATAATATTACTTACGAAATTCCAAAGTGGGCATCTATGTAATTTTCAACATAAATTGTTACCTTCATGCCCACAGTTCACTGTTAAATTTATCATATCTTATTTTATCACTCATTAATTTATTACTTATTATGTTTTACATAACTGGAGAAGGGATTCGCACAGTGGTAGTTTTATAAACCACTTTTAATTTATTGACCTATTATACCTAGTGGTAGTTTTATAGACCACATTTAATTTATTAACTTATCATACTTAGTATTTATTTTTGGTGACTGTATCACCCAGTTTTAACATTTGATAATTGTACAGTTTATTGACGACACATTGACTGAATGTTATTTTATATTCTAATTTATATTCTATTTATGTTCTATTTATTTTTCAACAGACGACAACTTCCTGTTTTTTCTTCTATATTAGTTACTCATATCTCTTGTACAGACTGTTTTACAAGGACATTGACAGATGATACTCACATTAGGCATTCATTATTGCACTAAATTGCTCACCCAAATTCCAAAAACTTGTGAAAAAGCCCTGAGATATTTTCCGAATCACCCTTCATGACGCAAGGTAAAAATGCTTCCCTAAGGAGTTACAGGGTAAAAACTGTCTTGGTCACGTGACAGGTTAGTAAAACGGAAATTCGATTATTATGTGTAGGGTTAAGGATGTGTTTGAACTGGCCTTAAACTGATTACAGCATTGAAAATCTTTTACATTTTATTGAGGAGGGTACAAAAGGAATATATCTAATGTAGTCCGAGGAGTCGGACTACCATATCGGACTATATTGGACCGGACATTAATTGGACGCTGGAGGCCCAGTGTTCGTTTTAATTTTTTTTAATTAAAATTTTTTGGCGTTTATCTTGTATCTTATCTGTGTAAGCAGGCGAAATGTACGAATATTGAATATTTGATTTTTGACAGACCTCAATATGTCATTTTGCACTTCAGCATGCCTATTTTTTAGTAGGAGAGCTGGATCCCTCAGCAAGTATAACCATAATACAGCGCAGCTGCAACTGCTTGGATTGGCATGATTGAATCATCTATAGATACACCAGTCACCAGCTTGAATAAAACAAATATTCAGAATAAAACAAATATTATATCAAATCTCTTTATTCAACAATATTAAATCATTATAGGAACCTAATTTGTGGCTTGGGAATTTATGGTGGCATATCCAAATTTTCTGTGTCATGTCAACACATTTGGTAATGTACCGATTGCCTTTTCAAACTATGATATTGTTACAGATAGTTCAAATGTCTATCAGTGACTCCCAGCAGAAGAGGGAAGCAGTTGTTGAAGATTTTCGCACGATACGACTCTCCAATGGGCGTAATTTGACTGAAGACACTCCTCAAACAGCAGTGTCGCCTTGGAACTACCCTTCAACCAGATCATGTGGATTTTCACAGGTTGGTGACCAATTTTTTTGACATAAAAAAATGTATATTGCAAAATTCAAAACTTCATCTCTCATGTTACCTTGACAATTAATTAATTAATTAAATTCACGTCATTACTCAGGATCAACTGAAAAACTATGACGACAGTGATGCAGAGTCACATGGTTCAGAGGAAGAAGTACTGGAAAATGCGGGTGTTTGGAACGTGGAGGAAGCTCACAGGATACTGAGAGATAAGATGAAGAAGCTTCAGAAGTTGTATGCTTTGCAGATGAAACATCTTCACATGGAGTACAAAAGTCAAAGAAGGAAGTATTTGATGGAAAAAGCTCAGTCTTTAAACCGCGCAAAAGGTAGCAACCATAACATTCCAATCCCGCAGCCCACTTTCCAGGATTTTAAGGTTGGTGTAATCATTGAATTGTTACAACAATATTAGACCTAGCATCACTTTATAATGGTGACCCTGTATACTGTGGCTTATCTCTCAACAATATGAATTTCAGGTCCAATCATCTAAACAGTTATCAAGGGAACTTCTGATCAAGGCAAAAACGAGGCAGTGTCTCCGAAACTATTGCAAGAAACGAGGCATTGATGCTGTCTTGTATAAACGGCAACAAGTAAGTTAAATGATTTTCAATATAATTGTATCATAATTTAACATGATGCAAATATTATGTGTACTGTCCTCATCAGTAAACTGCAATAGTTTTTACAATCAGGCCAGAAGACAGCAGCAAGCCCTATCAATGTACAATAAGAGTGAATTAAGAGGTCAGGAACTCAGCAAACTTAACAACCTATACTCTTCCTCTCAGTATGTACAGGTACAGATATTTCATGGTTTTTTTTCTGTTTTGCTTTCTACTGATGTAAAGTATGTGAACGAAGATTTAGCTTTCAATACTTCCATCGATATGATTTCAATGTAAAGCCTGCAAGTTTTGGTATGATTTTGCATGCTCGTTTAAAATCTATCAGCTAAATTCCAAATGGATTCAAATTCGCCACTAAATCGGAATCGTTAACCAGTTTTTTAAACCTATTACTCTAACTGAGCTAAGAAAGCATAATAATGATAAAGTATAATCTATATTAATTATATAATAATGATAAAGTATAATATATTAATTATACAATAATGATAAAGTATAATTTATATTAATTGTACAATTATGATAAAGTATAATTTATATTAATTATGTTTCCTCAAACAATGCAGCTGCACCATGAGGAGGAATTAGTAACCCAAAACAAAGAAATAATAGAGCACAAGTTGACAGTGGAGAAACAGTACACCGAGTCAGGTGTAGTAAACGGGCGGTGTAGGGCGTGTGACGAGATCGCGCTCCCGCTTACTGTTTACTGTCGCGCGCACGTGGGGCATGACACTCAACAGCTCTTGTTCAAGTATGTTCTACAATTGGTGGTATTGATCAAGTTTAATAAGAACGAATATAATATCATTCTTTACACTGTATTTATTAATATAATATTAATATCATTTTTTACACTGTATTTATTAATATAATATCATTCTTTACTCTGTATTTATTAATATAATATCATTCTTTACACTGTATTTATTAATATAATATCATTCTTTACATACATTTATTAATATAATATCATTCTTTACACTGTATTTATTAATTATATCATTCTTTACACTGTATTTATTAATGGCTTATTTGTGGGGTTTAAATGCTCCTTTGACACGTACAAAATTGAAAGTGACTTGCAGTTGTTAAGTTCAGTTGAAAAAGGAGTCCAGATCTTTATGATTTAACCATCTGATTTGCTTAACAGCATGGTTTATAGTTCCTTATATAACTGACTCATATATTTACATATAAAGTGTTGTATAAAATGTGACTTAATTTATTTATTTATAAGGTGCTGTTCACATGAAGGGTGCAAAAGGACCATGTTGTTGGCTAATAGTGACAGATGTATTTACCACCCAGAGATACTGGATCTACTACCTCCCAAACAGTCATCTAAACTTGTCGGTTAGTATTCATTTTTCTCTGTTGAAAGAAGCTTTTCTGTGCTTGGTATCTACTACTACTTGTGTAGTTTGGTTAGCATTCGCCATTCAATATCTCAGACGAATTGTCTGAATTTTGACTTAACCATGGTTTACTGACGAGACTGTGGTTTTTTGTTATCTTTAACCCATTACCAATTTGTACTATCAGAAGTTAAAGTTGAGCCTGTTACCCAAGACAAAGGGACAAGCACCGTGAAACAAAACGGTGATGAAGATCACGTCATCAAAACCGAAGCCAAACCCACTACGAGTTGAAAATTATGTTTCAAGTCGAACACAAACTTCATTTTTTAGTTTTCTTCAAATTATGATACCTGTTAATCAGGCAGTTATTGGTCATCATGCCAGGCTTATTTAAGCATAATTAATTCATAAGTTTGATCTAATTGTTTGTTCATGTTAGACTTAGACAAATCTAAATTGTTAATGAGATAAAGTATCAGTATGTTCTGTAAGCAGGGGTTTAGGAATGTAAGCAGGGGTCTAGGAATGTAAGCAGGGGTGTAGGAATGTAAGCAGGGATGTAGGAATGTAAGCAGGGGTGTAGGAATGTAAGCAGGGGTTTAGGAATGTAAGCAGGGGTTTAGGAATGTAAGCAGGGGTGTAGGAATGTAAGCAGGGGTGTAGGAATGTAAGCAGGGGTGTAGGAATGTAAGCAGGGGTTTAGGAATGTAAGCAGGGGTGTAGGAATGTAAGCAGGGGTGTAGGAATGTAAGCAGGGGTGTAGGAATGTAAGCAGGGGTTTAGGAATGTAAGCAGGGGTTTAGGAATGTAAGCAGGGGTTTAGGAATGTAAGCATCAGATTAGGGCTAACAGTTTTCTCTCAAATTATTTATATAATGATTAAACTTTACATCGAAAGATATCATGTAATGATTTTAATTGTTTTATGTTATTTCATTTAGTCAGATATTACAATAATTTTACTCGTTTCAACTTTAAGTTTTCTTTTTTCAAATTTGTATGAGGTAAACTAAACTCAATCTTTGACTGTCATCTTATATATCTGTATATAAAGTTCCTTATACAACTGAATCAAATATTTACCGATAAAGTGCTGAATAAAATGTACTTTATTTATTTAGGAGATGTCGAGTGTAACGGTTGGTGAGTGTTTTGATCAGCTTAGTGAGGTTATCTGCCACTATAAAACTAACAAGACCCAACATGAGTACTCCCGGAGATGTATTAAACAGGATATTGCATTTGTGAGTGAATAATTAAAGCTATATTCTGGATAATGTGTTTACATTGCTTTAGATTTATTTAAGAAGATAATTAAATTAAAGGGTTTCGGAACTTATTTTTGTGTTCAATGTAATTTAAATTCAGGTGAGCCAAGTTTTCAATAAGCTGCAGATGAAGATTGAAGAAATACGTATGAACAGACAGTTTCAGACTTATATTGATAAGCTAAAACCTTTACTGAAAGCAGGTGGGTGGAGTTGTGGTCCAATAATTGATTATTTTACCGCACTTGATGTGAAATAGTAGTAGTAATAGTAGTAGTTGATGTGAAATATGAAGGTCAAGGACGTGATAGGCTTATCCGCGTCCAATAACAGTAGGTTATACTTTATAGACGGGCCACTACTACTACTACTGACCAATAACAGCTAAGCTTTAAAGTTTATTTTTCAGCTGAACATTTACACTATAACATTTTGGACATGTGGAACCGAATGGTATAAATAATATAAAACTACTGAAACTTTCTTCAGAACACGTACAGAGGAATATACTGGAAAACAAGATAAAACTCCACAAAGCAAGCAAATGCGATACTGTGGAGTCCAAGAAACTTTCCATTCAGCATATCTGCCAGGCGCTAGGTAAGTGGGTAGCTATTTGCAATTCTCAAACGTCGAAAGGAAAAAATTTCTAAAAGTATAGATATCATTCATAAATTTTGTCGTGTAAAATTTAATTTCTACATTTTGACTATTACACTGACTTTTCTCTAGGATTGAAGTGCGTAGAAGGTGACGATTTGAAAAGTTACATAAGTTTTGACGCTAACGAGTTTTACCTGGATGTCTCTTTCGGGCAGTCGTCCGACTTCAAATCCGAGGTAAGCTTCCGTAGTCACTTCAGTGGCTGTACTATCATTTAGCCGGGACATATTAAGATTTTGGTTCCCACATTGTCATTTTTATATGATTGGTGTCTGGCTTCGTTTTGCAGGCTGCAGCTTACATAATATCATGTTTATCAGATTTCCCGCCCAGAATTTTGCACTTAATACCCAATATATATGTGAATAGCTCCAATATATGAATACCTGGATTGCTAACGTTACCACTAAACACAGAGTACGGGAGCTAAAGTGAGTTTGGTAACGGAGGGAAAACCAGAAGACCAGCCCCACATAGCGGACACGCTTAACGAGTGGGACTTTAACAAATTCCAGGAACACCTCAAGGGGTTCATCAGCATTTTTAACATTCCTTTGGAGCCCAGAGTCCGACCTATCCTGTTTTCTGCTCTAAGGTTTGGTTACGGACATGTGTTTTTTGATAAAACATTCTTCACAGTTTTTTAAAATAATTTGTCCAATTATATTGTTGCTCAATAAATTTTGCAAATATGAACGATTTATACCTGCCTCTATATTGATGATCATGATTCCTCGTATATAAATTCTAAATACGATATATCGATCAGATCGCTGGAGAGTGACCTGATTGTGATGAGTAATAGTCCAGACCCTCCCACCTCCTACTCTATCAACAACACCCACACTGGTCACGTGATAAAGTCACGTGGTGGCATGGGCATCAAGATACTGTACTTCCACAACACGTCACTGATTAACAGTGAGAACAAAGTGAAAGCCAAAGAGAAAGTGAAAGAGAAAGTGAAAGTGAAACTAGAAAGTGGGACTGGGAGTGATGTTTTGGGGGAGGAGTCAGCTAGTGTGAGTATCGGAGTGGAGTGTTCCAATACCAACCAACTACCAACACAAAACTTGTTTATCAGAAACAACGAGTTTAAACAGTTGTCCCTTAAAGTTAATTCCGGTAAGTTAACCCGCTGTACTGTTTGTAATATTACCTAATTTGTTCTTTTAATTATTGGTTTAGTGAGCAGCGGGACCAATTGACAAAAGTAAATTCAATATATTCTCTTAATTTAGAAGGATGATGCCCAAAATTATTTATAATCTAGATCAAGATAATTTGATCTCCTCATCGTGAGTTGTATTTTTCAGAATATGTGGAAGCCACATTTGTAATGAGGCTAAGTAGGCCCCTTGTAATGACCGTATCTAAGATGAACGCTCTCCTCAAGAAACTAGGAAACAACAGTCTCATTAAAGTTGAGGCAGTGTCCACCACATTCCTGGAGTTGTTGCTCAACAATGCGGGGTATGTGACACATTGTTCTGTGGTATTGTGGGACATTGTTCTGTGGTATTGTGGGACATTGTTCTGTGGTATTGTGGACATTGTTCTGTGGTATTGTGGGACATTGTTCTGTGGTATTGTGGGACATTGTTCTGTGTTATTGTGGGACATTGTTCTGTGTTATTGTGGGACATTGTTCTGTGTTATTGTGGAAATTGTTCTGTGTTATTGTGGACATTGTTCTGTGGTATTGTGACACATTGTTCTGTGGTATTGTGACACATTGTTCTGTGGTATTGTGGGACATTGTTCTTTTGCCTTAGGCCAAGGAGATTAATTTCGTTGTTTTATTGGATTAAACGGGTTGGTTTCACGAAAATAACGATCGTTATTGTTTTTAATACTACTCGTAACGTAATTATGAACATGTTTACAGGTTGAGCCAGGTGCTGCAAAACAAGGATAAGTCTCTGAAACACAACAAACTGAACCACGTGTACTACCTCCCCTGCAGTGGCGATGAGAAAGCTGTTGAAATTCACCGTATTCCCTTCTCACACCCATCCCAGGTTTGGAGGACACATTATTGAAATTATCTTAGCCATGGTCAGGAAAATGCCGTGTGCTTTAACATTTATGCGTCATATATATGTACAATGAAATGAAATGAATATATAATAATATAATAATATAATATATCTAATTTATAGAAAACACGTTTCACCTCCATTATTAGTCATATAAAACTAAATATTGTTAAACAACTTACAGGTCCCAGTGATTATCAACATGTTACGACAGCAAACAGTCTACAACAGGCTGATATTAAGTTGTCATGACAACCTCCCAACAACAACATGTTGCAACCAGACCACAGTTGACATTACCCTTCAACCGGGCTGCTCCATCGAGTTCGTGTTCGCTCACCCCGAGCTACCCCAGCTCTGTGTTATGAACATGGACATTTCACCACAGACCAGCTTCTCCTCACAGACCAGCTTCTCCTCACAGATCAGGTCGGAAACTGTGGTGGCCGTATCCTCATCTGACACACAGAAAACATCAGTTCTCAGTGGGATTGCCAGTAGATACCTGTCTGTTCCTCTGACTCTGCATAGTATACTCAGGATCCTCACCCACCACCACAAAAACAACATCAAACCCGTGAAACCCAAACAAGAAACAAAGGAATCTCCCGTTATCTCGTCAGACTACGATATGAGCTCTGTGAAGGTGGCTAGTCCTCCTCCAACTGTAGTAAAATGTGAAGCTATGAGCTCTCTTTCTGAATACAACCCAGTTCCTACAGACGTCGGACCAATGCTCACACCGCCTCCCATGTCCCAGGGACACATGCCCACCATGTCCAGCCCTTTCGGGCCTGATTCTCTCAAAACTATTCCAAGCCCACCCGATATTATCGCTCAGAAGAGGAAACGCCCCGTTGGATGTGATGGAGATGAAGCTCTGCTGAAAAAGCCCACCAAGCTGGTGAAGATCTGTGATTCAGTTGTCCCAAGTATTCCTGTATTATCACCCATGAGTGGACTATCTAACAACACTATCAGACACCCCATGAGACCCATCGGGCCACCATCTCTAAAACCTGCCCCAATACACTCATCGTCCCCTCAAGGAGGACTGGGTATAATACCGTGTTTATCACCCGCGCCGCGCATGACTCGAGTCATGCCAGCACTGCAAAGTAGTGTGCCGAATTTACAAAGTCCTGTGCCGGCTCTCCAAGCAGGGATACAGATTAAGAGTGAGTCTGAACATGACCAGGGTGGTGAGGGGAATGATAGTAACACGTGACCTCGTGTGGTCATATCACGTGACTGAAGATTATATGTCTATTCCAATTGCAAAATTCGAACTTTTACTTAACTTCTTGTGATGTAAATTTTGCTTCAGAGAAATACGATCGTCCGTGTTGGTAATTTAATTCATTTCATTACTCAATGTGGGAGCAATCTTTTAACTTTTAAACTTTGTATCTTGGTGATACTGTATTATTTATTGGAGATATTTTTTTATTTCAAAATTCAAATAAACTTTACATCAATGTATTACAGTTATATTCAATAAAAAAGACCACAATATCTCCTGTGAGGCAAAAACATGGAAAAAGAGAGCTAGAAAAATATTCATGAGACTCAACACTACCAGACTACAGCTGGAGTGAGAAACATTATGTAAACATCAAAGTAAAATTTATTTCGGCTGAACCAAAACATTACATTGGTGCCGAAAGAATATATTGGCAACGGAGATTGATTAGATTAATCAAGATAAGAGTAAAGCGTTTTGGGATGGTCACTGCTTAATTAGCACCTTTACTTTGGTATTTATCATTTACTGAATATTGATTTCACTGTGTCATGTGTCACTCAATTTTTGAAGTTATAAAATCTTGTGTTTAACTATCAAAATTTGGGGGGAAATCGATCGATTCAAACGAAACCCTCATCAATCTTCGTTAACATGACATTATGTTAAGACATTTCATTATTATCATTTGCCAATTTTTATTCTCACACGTCTTGATCATTTCAATTCTGATATAATTAATTTTAGTTGATATATGAAAAGAATGTCCACGAAACTGTATGGTGGTGGAGACATGATAATGTAAAGAATGAAGTGTTTACTGCTACACGACGCTGATACAAGGTACGATGACCTGTTATCGGAACATGACATAAAGATAACAAACCTTCCCGTCCTACAAACTAGAGTTCTTGATTTGGGGGATAGTTCTGATATAAGCACTGCAAACCACCAAGGAATCATTATTTCCAGCAAATATGGTGTCAGTTTTATCGTGAATAACAGGATTGATGTCAGTGGTAAAGTATTGGCAGTTGTTGGACCAAACACAGCTAAACTCATTGGAGAACATGCGGAAAAGTATCACAATGTTAAGATTGTTTGGGCTGATAACGCGACAGCTCTTTGCAACCTTATCCTCTCCTCTTTCCCTCAAAACTACTCCTGGATATTTTATGCTGGTAACCAAGCTTTGGATATAATTCCAAAGACTTTGTGTCAAAACGATGTTAAGTTAAAGCAGGTTGTGGTTTACAAAGTGGAAAAACAGAAAGATTTTGATAATAAACTCTCCTCTCTACTTGACAAGGATTCGTTCCAAGCTGTGGTTTTCTTCAGCCCATCCGGTGTAGGATTTACAGCTGGAACGTTAAAAGATAAACTTACAAAGGAGTGTGTGCTTGTGGCATTTGGTAAAAGCACTGCCGCTGGTATTTCAGCGTTATTTGGCGATGGTTATATTATCAGAATATGTGAACGTCCCACGCCTTCAGGTGTTTTGAATGTATTACAGAGTTTGTGAAATGTTTGATAAATATCGGAAATTCTATGCAATATAGGTGTAAATATTTATCGTCAGTTTTTGAAGTCGATTGTTGGCATCGTTTGCATCCCAATCTGATAGTTTTCTGTTTTGATGTTTAATATTGCAAAGAGATTGGTTTTTATTTCTGGCTCCAGTTGTTATCAAGTTCTGTACAGATTTAAGTTAGTATTTTTTGCATCCCAAATTTGATGAATTCTCTGATATTTGATATTGTGGTTCTCTATTTCAGTTCTTATTCTATTCCAGCGTTTTAATGAACAATTTGTAAGTTTTTTCCTTCATTTTATCTGTCTCGGCAGTAATATTAGGTTCATCCAAATGTTTGATTTAAATGACAAACAAACTTACTCTCTAGCTAATAAGATAGAATAGTGCTATAAAACATCAGAAGAACAGCAGACGATATCCCATTTATGGCCAAAAACGGATCCAATGATCATGTAAAACCACTTGTCGATTGGTCCGAAGTGTAAGTTTATACGTATCATATTCTAATGCTGTGTTATCTTGTCATTTAATTATATTTCCATGTTACCGACTAATCTTTTTTGTTAAGTAAATCGTTCTGAGTACATAACACAGATTCTTATCTTCAGTGAGGTTAAATAACCCCACGTTGTCCTGAACAGTCTTGTACCACTTTTTGGCAATCATATTTCCGTACCAGTATTAAGGCGCGGAAACCAAACCATAATTTTCACATCAGTAGTCATTTTGAAAACGCGCATGCACGTACGTTTTTTACGCGCATATGTTGTTCAGATAAAGTTAATGCCCGCCCACCATGGGGTCGTTATTATATTACGTAATCTGCCGAGGGGGGGGGGGGGGGGGGGGGGGGGGGGGGGGGGTAAAAATTGCTAAAATATTGATTACGTAATATGTGAACGACTAACAAATTTTATGTTCAATTGTGATACCAAACTCATGAGTAGTATAAGTTTTATAGATGAATAATGAGCGGGTTTAACTGTATGGCCCACATGATAAATAATAATTTACCTATAGTAAATAGTTTGACTCTTATAAACTCGACGAAGGAAGCGTGAGGGACACAAATCTATTTTAACACCTGACATTAATTAATTAATTATAATTAATTTTAAGCACTCTCGGTAGGTATGTCATACAAATCGATATTTCTGCCTAAAACCAAGATCCTGCCAGACAGTGTATGTTAAATGAGATTAAATATCTAATAATTTCGGTTGTCCATAAACGTATATTTTCTATTCACACCTTTACTAAGTCCTCATCACTCTTGCAGTCCGGGAATATCGGAGTACTTCGCAGATGAGGATAGGTTGGCGGCACTGTTCTACACTCTCGACTACTACAAGGATGGGTATGTGTCTGTGGATGAACTTGAGAGGTACCTCACCAGGAAAGGAATGTTGACGGACCGAAGTGAAATTGAGGTTAGTTTTTAATTTTGATGTGTGTTATCATATTTTGGTGCTCGAACTTCCCACCGTTAATTTTCAATGCCGTCCTCAAAATTGGTGTTATCCACTAATATTTGTTTGGAAACGCTACCCCTCCTACACTTAGCAAGGTTTGTACAAGTTAACCCGAATTAAACTCAAAAGTTGCCCTTAAAAAGATATGTTATGATCTACTCAAGCAATGGTTACTCACTAGTCACTGCTTCTCAATTTGTGCAGCCACTAACTGTTAACAGCACCTGGACTACAACTATGAGTTAATTTGATGAAAATAAATCAATCTCATTTTTGAAATACTGACCTGCGTGTGAGTGACTTTTAGCAACCGTTGCCATCAAGCGGCATCACATACGCGATCAATCATTGACATCTCAAGTATAAATTAACGTTCTTTGACTACTGATTAAGTCTAATTCAACAGGCAACACAGTTCATCTTGTTAATCCTTGAGTTTGAGAATTTGTGAATATTCTTGCTTGTGTGTTTTGAAATTCAGGTATTTTGTGTTGCAATTTTTATAACCTGTTAAAAGGTATGCAAATTTACATGAGCTGTTAAAAAGTATGTCTCCATCCGAAAAATATCCAAAGCATTGTGGGATAAGCAGACGTGCGGTAGTATTTCAATTAACTGCACAAAAGTCTCACTATTTCTGGAGAGACACACTACAAAACTTCAAGAGATCGCGTGAAGACTGCTTCATCCATATTCATTAGCTAATGGACCCTGAAAATATTGTGAAGCTCCATGTTTTGTTCTTCATGTGATTTTCCCAAGGTTGCTGCCGCGGTTGTTTCACTTGATCCTAACAAGGTTTTGCAAATACTGCTGTCTGGCTGTAACAATATGTATTCTAGGTAGTGACCATCTTGTATGCTGCATTCTAGGCTCCGGCTCACAGGTATTGTCACGCTGGGTGAATATATGCAGGGAAACAGCATCAGTCCAGTTGTTCATTCACTGGCAGTCTCCTTGTTCACTGTAACAAAATGTTCGTTTTGTCGGATCCTGTAGTTGCTGAGCGTCGGACCAACACAATGGTCCGATCTTAAGCTATTATTGCTGTAAATTCGTCCTTAATTTCCTTGCTGCATAGGTAGAAAGCTACAAAATAAATATCAACAGCTATACTACACTGTATAACTTCAATTTCGACATAAGGTTAATATGTATCGAAGTATGAAAATAGCACTGCTCTCTGCGATACACAAGAAAACAATCACTTCCGGCTTCTACTGCACTAGCTGCTGAGCTGCACACACATGTTGTGTTGCCATGGTGACACATGATGTCTACATACATGTATTGCTGTTGTCTGCATACAGTTTACTATAGCACAAAATAACTCTCGTGTGTGTAGTTCATTGAATTGCTTCTGTACAGATACTGACAATTATGTATTTATTGTCAGTTGAGCACGAGAATCTGCTACTTGGTCTGAATTTTTCCCATTATTGGTAAGGTAACCAATGGTTACATAATATAGTATTGCAGTTATTTTGCAACCCACAGACCCTCCAAAACTTAGTTATGACTTTTAAGGTCGGGGCATATGAGCGCCTCTTTCATATTGCTTATATTTCCCCGTCAGTTTCAGTCTGAAAACATTTCGGGGTATTTCCTGGGACTATAGACAACACATTCCTGAAGAGAAACCTTTGTTTCGAATTCATTCGGGCAGTTTATCCTATTCGTGCCCTAACTATTATAATTGAATCGTTTTTAAACTTAACGCCCGATCTGCAATCCTGCCCAACATTAACAAAAAGGTCACGTGCGTAAAACATGTGTCCCCTCCTCAAAAAGTCCACTACTGCCAAGTTGTTCAATTCTCTAAGTTAAGACCAGCTTTTTACCAGCTCAAGTTACTTCATGTCTAATGTACAGGGGGGGGGGGGGGGGGATGTACCAAATCATTCTTCGTATTAGTGCGATGTGGTACTCAAAATACTCAAAATCAATTTTTTAGAATGAGTTTTTCGCCTCTCCTGGAAACTTTTCTCAAAAATACTCAAAAATAATTTGTGAGTATGAGAATTTGGCCATTTTCGTCGGGACTCTCAAAAATACTCAATACCCCCCCCCCCCTCCCCCTTTACACCGCACACGTAATGGCACGTGACACCATTTCCTGCTAGTGGTAGAAACCTCTACTCATTCTGCAGCCACTACTTAAATCTATTTTTAGCTTTTAATGATCCGTTTCATGTTTTCTAGCTACAGTTTTATCGGAACCACCAAGTCTACCATATCTGGTTTGATTTGAATTGTCCTAATACTGTAGTAGCAGGGCGTAGTTGCAAAGATACTGTAGTATCAGGGCGTAGTTGCAAAGATACTGTAGTAGCAGGGCGTAGTTGCAAAGATACTGTAGTAGCAGGGCGTAGTTGCAAAGATACTGTAGTATCAGGGCGTAGTTGCTAAGATACTGTAGTAGCAGGGCGTAGTTGCAAAGATACTGTAGTAGCAGGGCGTAGTTGCAAAGATACTGTAGTAGCAGGGCGTAGTTGCAAAGATACTGTAGTAGCAGGGCGTAGTTGCAAAGATACTGTAGTAGCAGGGCGTAGTTGCAAAGATACTGTAGTAGCAGGGCGTAGTTGCAAAGATACTGTAGTAGCAGGGCGTAGTTGCAAAGATACTGTAGTAGCAGGGCGTAGTTGCAAAGATACTGTAGTAGCAGGGCGTAGTTGCTAAGATACTGTAGTAGCAGGGCGTAGTTGCAAAGATACTGTAGTAGCAGGGCGTAGTTGCAAAGATACTGTAGTAGCAGGGCGTAGTTGCAAAGATACTGTAGTAGCAGGGCGTAGTTGCTAAGATACTACTAGTAGCAGGGCGTAGTTGCTAAGATACTGTAGTAGCAGGGCGTAGTTGCAAAGATACTGTAGTAGCAGGGCGTAGTTGCAAAGATACTGTAGTAGCAGGGCGTAGTTGCTAAGATACTGTAGTAGCAGGGCGTAGTTGCAAAGATACTGTAGTAGCAGGGCGTAGTTGCTAAGATACTGTAGTAGCAGGGCGTAGTTGCAAAGATACTGTAGTAGCAGGGCGTAGTTGCTAAGATACTGTAGTAGCAGGGCGTAGTTGCAAAGATACTGTAGTAGCAGGGCGTAGTTGCAAAGATACTGTAGTAGCAGGGCGTAGTTGCTAAGATACTGTAGTAGCAGGGCGTAGTTGCAAAGATACTGTAGTAGCAGGGCGTAGTTGCAAAGATACTGTAGTAGCAGGGCGTAGTTGCAAAGATACTGTAGTAGCAGGGCGTAGTTGCAAAGATACTGTAGTAGCAGGGCGTAGTTGCAAAGATACTGTAGTAGCAGGGCGTAGTTGCAAAGATACTGTAGTAGCAGGGCGTAGTTGCAAAGATACTGTAGTAGCAGGGCGTAGTTGCAAAGATACTGTAGTAGCAGGGCGTAGTTGCAAAGATACTGTAGTAGCAGGGCGTAGTTGCAAAGATACTGTAGTAGCAGGGCGTAGTTGCAAAGATACTGTATGTCCTTATAAGAGCCGCCAAATACAGTCATGTCTGACAGATATGTAATTTTGTTTAGATTTTGTTTCTGCATATACAGCAGAGCTGGCCTGGTTGTATAAATAATATTTTACTAGCGATCTAAGCTGGTTTGTTTTGTTATGCAGAGTGCTCTAACTTTTACATTGTAAGTGAGCTTTTAAGACATCGTCATGTGAAACTTCGAGATTACCCCTGAGTAACATTGCTATACTTAAATATATATTCTACAGAACACAGGGACAAACACTTACTCAGAATACTAAGCATAATATCTTGTATTGCATATTGCATAATTATGAAAATGATTATAATAAGAATTAATCCTTATTTTGAATTATGTAGTTAGCTGCGTTTAACATGTCTTACTTTGTAAGTCAGACTGTAAATCATTGACATTTTTATGATATATGAGGCTTTGAAGTTTCAGTATTTATATCTGATATATTTTGTTACGATATAGGCAGTACATAGGAATATCATAGATGTTAGAATCGAAAGTATGGTGAGTTTAACTCATTTAATTCCCTGAGTGGTCCAGGATCCAAATCAGAGCATAAACTGTTATACTTGATACTTCACTTAGCTAATTCTTTAGCAGGCAACGTGGCAGATGTAGTAGTGTACACAGTGAACACAGTGTACACATTATACACATTACACACATTATACACAGTGTACAAATTATACACAGTGTACACCGTGTACACATTATGCACATTATGATATCCACAAAGTATGCATTTCATGCGATTACCATCTCTATTTCACGTCATCATCGCTCATCGACTGAGCCACCTTATCTGCTATTCAGTCATTACATTTGACATGCTATTATATATTATATATTTACCGACCTATCGCTGGTTTTATTATAAAGTTAAAGCTCCATTATACACACCATATTTACATCTCACTTCTCAGAGATGTAAATAAATAAATCTGTTTAATATATAAGCTGACAATTCAGTGTTTGTGGTGAACTGTTGTTGTAATCGTAACAAGATATTACGAATTTCGCGAGCCTTATTGGCACTTCTTCCAGCTATTGCAGTTGTACACATGTAACAAACTATACAAGGAACATGTTGCTGTCCGTCATTTTATAGGTAACATTAACGCTGTTGCTACTGGAGTAGTTAAGTAGTGGGGGTTAAGTAGTAGTAGTTAAGTAAGCTTAGTGATTTAGTGATGGAGTCGTGTTTACTGATTACTGTATGATAATATTCACTACTGTAGTTTATATGTTATACTGTCAAACTTATATTGTATATTTTGATTGCATAATATCTCTTATCACTTTATAGTCAGACTTGTGCTGTTATCGCAATGATAATGGAGCACGGTCACTTAAAGCAACGACACAAATCATATTAGACGTTAAGCTTTTAAATAACGGTCATATAATGGGTCATAATTACTTTAAATTATGACAATCTTATATAACTGGTTACAACTTTCCCAAGAAATT